AGATAACACGTGCAAACACAGTTTTATGGTCAAACGTATTGTGATCGCAACCTCTTTTTTTTTTTTCTTCAGCAGTTTTCCAGTAAGGAGGCCACACAGAGAGGCTGATGCTTTGTTTGATAAGCACGCCATAGTCAAAGCAAGGCGCTGTGCAGTTGGCGCTCTGTCTCACTTTTACACCTCTCTCATCTTGATCCTATTGTTTGCGTGTGGGGATTGACTGACACGCTGTTACCCCCCGGCATGAGTCCACACGCAAAATAAGGCAGGAGGGATCCTTCACTGTGAGGCCCGCAGGCCAAGAGAATGGCTTCAAACCATCCACAAACGCCCTTTTTTGGGTTCCTACCTTATTGTTTGAGGTGATACATTGTCGCCAACCCTGACAACTGGGAAGGATGTGCAAATCTAGTCTAATGTTAAGAAATCACAGTTACTGATGAAGAAGCTATGAATCAAGTAAAAATGTATCAGACATAGTCATTGTAATAATGTCGATTGTGCCTTTAATGTTTGGGCATCATCTTAAGTAACTCAAATCAGAGTTGTTGCCTCTCATTCGGCATGAGTCCCTTTTTTGTTTTTTTTTCCCTTTTCAGGAGAAATACAGACAAACGTCTGCCCCGCTGTTGCAGGACAAGTGGGGATCTTGCAGCCACGCAATTGCGATATCATTAAAGTTAAAATGGAATTAAATTTATTGCAAACTGGTGTTTTTATAAGCTTTTGCTTCTGTTTTTTTCATTTTTTTTATTTTTTATGTTTCTCATAATTTTTAAGGTGCAGTTGTTGCAGAGCGTGGTCAGGGACCGAAGACTTTCCCATCGTGAAATGACATAGATGAGTGCTTGGCTTTAATTAGGACGGGTTCTCCAGCATTTTCCAATCCCACCATCGCCAAGTCTCATGATGTCTGTGTTTTAAAAGGACAGCTCCAATACACAAGAGGTAGTGGTATCAAGCCAATTCGCTCCCCAGGAGGGAAAAGGAAGAGTTTGCAGGGGGAAAAAAAAAGATGCCAGGGACACAGCTAAAACAAAATCCACATACATGTTTACGTATGTGATGGTGGATTTAGAAGTATTTATTGGTTTTTAAGAAAACTTGAGGATCCTACGACTCTTTGTCTTGCACGACGGCCAAATAAATGCAGGTTCTGTCCCAGACTAATTGCCAGTGGCCTTTTTGTCAGACTGTACTTAAATATAAGGGGAAACAGCAATTAACGATTTATGTCAGGTCTTAGACACTCCTTTAAAAATCTTTCAAAACAGTTCAGACCAAATTTATAAAACTGATTCAGCTACTTTTTTATGGAGTCTTAAAAGTGCCAACAAGGGTGCTACTGGTAATTTGCTTTTGACAATTATTCTGTTACACTTTTTTTTTTTTTTTTATGTCTTGATAGAAAAAAAAAGTCCTCAAATTAAAATGTGGGTTCCTTCAAAATGCTTCAGTATGTGATTATGCTGTTAGGAAATTATTTTCAGACTTCTTCACCCGGGGTGCCAACATTACTTTTTTTTTTTTCCTGCCTGCAGCTATCTGGCTTGTTCATCTCGAATATTAACGCCCTGTAGTCAAAGCACACAAAAGAAAGCCTGCAAATGTGCATCATCACCAGCAGGGAGTTGAATTTTCCTCTTTCAATGTCAGACTGTAATTTTATGTTGGCACACACACAAATGCATACACACACTGTCTTCACAAGAATGTTGGGGAAATGTTTGATCTTTCCATGAACACCGAGCAAGATGCTTATTAAAGCAGGAGGTGGAATTTTTCTCCCATCTGATTTATATCAGGTGCAAGTCCATAGATGGGTAATTTGTCTGATAGGAGCGTTTTTATTACAGAGTCCAGGCTGCAGCAGAAATGATAGGTCTCCTTTTAAATCAGCCTGGAGTTTGTCCCTTTCTTTTGTCTCCAGCTGATTATTCTGGAACGCTTTTCTTTAGACTCGACTCCTGTGCATAAAAAATATGAATACTAATTTTCCAGATTACTTTCTTTGGTAAAAAAAAAATAATTTTGAGCTCAGCTTTATGCTACCAGTCGTGAGTTTTGTAAATTGTTGTTTTCTTTATTGGCGCCATGTCAGTTGCAGAAATATTGAAGAAGATCAAGACAAATCTCAATGCGTAAGGATGAGGATAAAAACACTTCCTGACCTACTGTGAAGGTAGATGTCGAGGTCAAAGGTCAAATCACATCAGTGTGTTGTGTGGGTTTTCTGTAAAATAAGAGAAATCAGATGAGAAATTGACTTTGATTTGATAAATGAAAAAAAAAAAAATCAAATCTAGCTGTAAGGTCTGATATGGGTGTTGCATGTTTTTGAGAACCAAGTGGGTTCATGGAAAAACAACACTTAAAGTAAAAAAAAAAAAACAAAAAACAAATCTAAAGCAATATTTTCATATATTATCTAAATCTGCTCATCTAGGAACCTTTGTGTCTTATTCCTCCCAGAATGACTGCTGAACATACCACTTTAAGTCAATATGCCACTGACCTTCAGCAGCAAATGCCCACATTCCTTTTGCGATAAATTAAAAGCGATCAGAAAATCATGACTTCGACTGATTTAGTGCATTGTGTGCGTTAAGCTTCAGGGGGAAACGACTGAGGTCAAAGAGTGCAGAGTCCGCCCAAGAATGCTAATAGGTCATAACAATAAAGTCTGTTTTTGGATAAATCTGATATAAAAAAAGAAAAAAAAGGCCAAATGCTGGCCTTTTTTTTTTTTTTTCTGATGTTCTGATTCGTACTCGGCCCAAACTTGGCAGCTCCAGACAATAAGAGGACTTTAACAAGAATGATCTGACATGAGTAGAAATACTTTCCATGGGTAATTGACTCCTTTTCCTGGACACACGCAATCCAACATCAAAAGGGTATATCCTCTAGGCTCCAAGAGCCACTGATTAAACACATTTCAGAAGTATTTCCCTTCCACTTCCTGGACAGATCTGGCATCAACCGTGTCAGATGTGTTTCGTTAAGTTGTAAAATGAATTTCTAAGTCCGGCGCGGAGTGTGTCCGAGAGTACAGTAACTCCGTGGAGGACATGGGAAGAGATGCCACTTCAAACAGCAGTTTTTTTTTTCTTAGGAAACACCGAGACTTAGACGGAGCAGCAGGGGAAAATGGAGCATCGTCTTACCAGCTTACTGCCTAATCCCCCGCTGGCTGCAATTGAAACTTCAGTCGTGTAAAACAGCAGAATCGGAGCGGGACCCGACAAAAGATGACATTGGTTTGTGAGTTTTGGGTGACGACGCTCAGGGGGGGAACCCCATTATGAAGCTGTCACACAGCATTAGGCCAAACTTCAAACACTTTCATGTCTGAATTATCATTCACCCTTTGGAGATAATACATAGTTGCCTTTGCTAATCCTTTTCTCTATTGATTTTTTTTCTCCCTTCTTTTAATAACTTCTTGCAAGCGAGCAGATTCCGCGTACAAGAATGCCGACACGTGGGCGGCTGGAACAACAGGACGGGTTTAAGGCAGATGAGCCGCCTACTGTACTTGTCCACGTGCGTACGGGATCTCCTTTGACATCTTTATTGATTCCAAAGACGATATGTGAAAAGCGCTGTCATATAAAAGAAAGAGTTAAGTATCCAAAAATCACTCCACTCAACCATAAGTAGGTCAAGTTATTACAGTTTTGCCTGTGACAGCATGTCTGTTCTACTGCCTCTGTCTTATTTTCTGGCAACCTATCGTCATTTCAGTACTGTAGATTATTTTGATGTAAATATGAAAATCGGAAAGAAACTTTATAAATGTTTTTTTTTTTTTTTTTTTATGTGAACCTTTTTTTCTTTTTAGCCTATCTAAGCCAAAGAGTGTCACTGTCGCCTCATGATTGTCTGGTTTAAGTCTTTAGATTTATTTGGTCTTAAACCCTAAACGGTTTAAGCTAAGCTACAGCATAATAACAAAACACCATGCAGATTCCTTCCAAGTTAATTCATATCTCCTAAACTTTTCACATTGATTTTGTTGCAAAAAAAAAAAAAAAAAGGATTTGGATTTGGTAAGCAAATATTAGACGTGCTGGCCTTCTGTCCCGCCTCCTGAGTGCGCAGCATTACACGTCTGTATCCACACGGTTCGACATCGCACTCGTAAAGATGTTAATCTGGTTTTCATAACGTGTAAATAAGCGGTGTATATTCAAAAGCTCTTACTACGCTGATGTAAAAGCACGCAATTTTATGTTGTTTGCTAAGTAAAGCCAGATGGTTGGAGTCAAGCAACAAAGACTTGCCAAGCTGCCCAGCCGGCCAGTGTTCGGTCGTCCTGTTTTATCGCTGCCACATGAACCTGTGGCGGCACGCAAGGTTTAAACAAGGATGAATGACTCACTAATGTCTGGTTTTACGCATTAAACCGACATGGCGTATGTCCACATGCTGTCTTTTCCACTTCTTTTTTACAAATAAATGAAAAAACACTGTCTGATCCCGGAAACTTCTGTTCTTCTGTGAACACTAATAAAAATATTTTACGTCACATCTGTAAATGTTCAATAAATACTACTGACAGGTTCATCCACAGCCCTGGATGGATGGTTTAAAAGTTACTGTGATATGCTAAACACATCATATAAATTAATTACACACAGACTGAAGTTGTCAAATCTTTATTTCTGTTTGCTATGATTATTTAACGCAGTATTTGTTTTCTTAGATTAGAACATTTTACATCAATTTGTTTCCATACAGATGTAATCGGTGATGTGTGGTTTGGTGCACTTGCCGTTAAATTTGCCTAATTTGAGAAGCTGGTGAAGATCAGCTCATCTCATGTTGACATGCTGGGCGTTGCAGGCTGCTCCTTTTTTACTGACTGTTTAGAGCGAGATGGGTAACTATTTATATTTTCAGCATTTCCCCACCAACACGGTTAAGTCTTTCTGAGATTCCTACTGTGATTAGATGGAACTAGAAATTATAGCATAGCTGTTGCAACTTTGTTATTTTGTTTGTCCAATTTTGGTATTTGACTCTTTTTTTTTTTTTCCTTACTCGGCGCATTCCTTAGCTTTAATATTCCTCATGTTTTTGTTCTGTGTGTACTTAATTTGCAGCCGTTAGTTGTGGCCGCTCTTTGCGGATCTTAGTTCCTGTTTTATTTTGCAATTGGACAGTGAGCTTTGATTTTAATTCATGTTGTGTTGTTGCTCCTGTTTTTGAACTTCTTTGTAAGCTTTTGGTCTGAATCTTGATTAACTTTAATGCTAGGTCATGGCCTGTTTATGCCATAATCTATTCTCTGTGTCTTTGTTTCCCTGGTTCCTTTTGCCATTTCTCCCATTTCCTCAATTACACTTCAGTTATTTGCTTTTTTTCTCTCACGGTCGCAGCCTGTTTCTAATCACCCACTTGTTCCTCATGCAGTAAACACTCCTCAAGCCGTTCAGTTTCTGTCGTTCTTTGCTAGATTATGCTGCTGCTCTCAGTCTGGTTCCTGTATGATTTTAGTGTTTTCTATAAATCTCTGAGTTCAATAATTAAAATACTACCTTCAACACTCGTCTACCTTCTACCTGCTATAAAAAAACAAAACAAGAAAACAGAAAAATAAGAGGCATTTATCTTGGCAAAACAAAACTTTTAAACAAACGAGAGTTAAAAGAAACGATAAGTTACAGGAAAAAAATTACAGTCACAGCAGAACCTCTTTAAATGTACCTTATTTTTATTTACATGGATCTGACCCAAGAGTTGTCCCGACTGATCCGACCACATATTTTAGTTTCTCACAATGATCTCCTGTTCCAGCTGCTGTGAAGAGTAAAAATATGTCACCCAGACAGTCAAACACACCAGCGATGCTACAGTGAAACACGGTGGTGGCAGCTTTTCACCACAAGTAAGCTTACAGAGGAAAAATTCAACTAGAAGTTAAGAAAATTAAACAAGTTCAATACAAACAAAAAGTCTTCACAACATATTACAACTGAAATCATGCAATGTAAACAGTCCCACGGTCTCTCCGAGAACATTTTATCACTTTCTTTTTCGCACAATACGTGCATTTCTGCTTGATTTTCACTTCATTATTTCATAATAATAATAATAATAATAATAATACATCATTGTTTCCTGAACGAACATAATCACACGATTAGCTTTCCTCACATCCATTTCCTGTGATTTAACACTCAGATGTTCTGTGTCATGACATTCTTCGTCCTCGGCTTCGGCACCGGAGACACTCGTTGCCCCTCGGCAGCTGTGGACAGCTGTGGAGACTTCCTGTCCGTCCCAACATCCAGGTTCTGGTAACAGACCCTTGGTGAAGGCTGTGGACTTGGGGACAGCCAACTCTCCACGCTGTGTACGTTTTCATACTCTGTGACGGGCTCCACCTCCCGCTTCTGTACAGAAAGCTTCTTGAACTCCACTCTGTCGCTGAGCCGCATGCTAGTTTTGGCGCGTCTGTACGAGAGGCACAAGACGATAATAACGACAAGCAAAATTAAAATCAGACCTGCTCCTCCTGCCAGGACGCCCAGAACAGTTTTGGACTTAAAGCAAAGCATTGGGGCTGTGCATGTGGGCCGAACGGTCTCGCTGCTCTCCTTGCTCACTTTGTTTTCCACGCTGCAGAAAAAGTTGCTGCCTTCCTTTATGTTGCTCAGTGATATGCTGACAGTTTGTCTTGTTTCACTTGGTAAGATCTTTTTATCGTGCGTCCAGGAGAAAACCAAACCCTCAGGCTTGGAGACTTCACAGTTCAGCTTAACGACGTTGGTGCCGCAGCTATAACTGAGTCGAGGTTTTAGTACCTTTTCCATCACACAGAGCTGACCAGTCCAGTTTGTAGCCAGGGTGTTGTTAGCATGCAGGAGGCTTGCTAGATAAGTTCCTGAACTTTGCAGATTTACACTCTTCAGCAGCAGAGATCCAGTTGCATTGATGTCTTCTGGTTTCCCATGTCTCACTCTATTTTGTGCTCTTAAGAAAATAATGGTGGAGTTATGAGTCCATCTCAAAGTATATGACTTTGTCAGTCCTTCATAATTAAAAGGCAGAGGCACATTCTCCCCGACAGCAGCGTATATGTCACAAGCTTTGTTGGTACTTGCTGCTGTGAAGCCGAAGAATCCAAAAAAAAGGATTTGACCGAGCGCGACAGTGAAACACCCCATCGTCCGTTTTGGTCTCCCAGAGTCTTTTGGGTCAGGATGGTTTCCAAGATCTGACCAGAACAAAGTCTGATCCAAATGCCTTGTTGTTTTTGAAGGCTGAAATATATATGTCAGAGGAAAAACACATCTCCACCACTAAAAGGGAAGTATGTCTTACACAATAAGGAAATGGTTAGGCAAGAGTCTGTAGTCATTTCTAAAAAAGGTCTGTCAAAATCGTGTGACAGCTAAGATTTTCTGCTTAAATGTCACATATCTATTTTTATTTTTTACCAAAACATGACATGACTCAGTGAATTACTAAATTCACCAGAGTTTTGTTTAACCTTTTGTCCAGCCAAGTCAACCTTACGGTTTAGCAGAAATAAACTAATATTGTTTAGATCTGAAATTAAGTTGATGAAATGAAAATCTGGGCTTCCTTTGAATTAATTACTTCCACTTATATAGGAGGATTGATAAAAGGTGTAAAACAATGTGCTGTGCATGGGCGGCTAGATTTAAATGATTTTTGTAAATAAAATAAAAAAAACAACACAGAACTGTTCTGGAAGTTAACAGAGAAAGAAGCCAAGACATATTTCAGAAAAGTAATATACATACAGATCATGAAAATACTGAAATCATACAAATCAATATCTGATGTTTATCAGATGCCATTACTTGTAGTATTTTTCCTGGTTATTGGTTTTGGCTGTACAGATAGTATAAAATATCTTCTATTTCAGTTTTTTTTTCATGAATGTCTGTTCTGATAAAATAAGTGGCTAAAGATTAACTATGGCCTTTCATAAGACTGTTACACATATATGTTTACATTACTGACTTGAATGAAGATGAAGAATATTAATGAAACGGTCTCTTGAGAAATCAGCTCTTTTACAAACATTTGGAAACTTGTATTTTACTGAAGATTTATTCATTGACAAAGGCTCCAGCTTTTTCAGCTTTTGCTCAGATATGATCGTGATTTATCCTATGGAAATGTACAGTTTGACTTTTAAACCCTTCACAAAGCGTTTTCCTGTAAACCATAGTCACTGTTGAGCGAGCTTTCCCAAAACCCCCTCCAATAACTCCACAACCCCGTGCTATCTCCAACCCCTCCGAGTTTCACCCCCTCTTGGCTCGAGCTCCACCGGAGCGAGTTCATTTCGCACCCCCTCAAACTATAATTTCGCACAATTAGCAGTGATTCACGCTCTTTCTGTAACTCTCAGCGCCATCGTCAAAGCATGACCAACACCTGTTTCTTCGAGCTTCACCGTCATTTCGCGTTTTCCCTCCCCGAGGGGACGGATTGATTGAGGTGTCAGCCTTTCGAAGGGGGGAGGACTGAGCGCTGAATGTAATGAATTCCTGCTTAGCACCATTGTAAACATTTTATGTAAAAAAAAAAAAAAAAAAAATCCCCTTGACCTAGTTACACAAAAATATGGAAAAGAATGTAAGGATGAGGCTCATTTAAAACTCTACTTTTTCTTTTTCACTGTCCATATTATTGCAAACAATGCACCCAGTAGAGTATCAGTAGACCTTGAAATACTTCCCAGCTCTGCACCCTACATCACTGTGAAACACGCCTAAAACCCAAAAGTCACCCTTGTGACCCCACAGCATGTGTTTTCCTTCAAATTCTTTGTCTCTGGAGTGGAGCCAGGTCCATGAAAACGTATTATTGCCCTAATACGTACAGACCGCTCAGCGCTGAAATAAATCTGGGACATTTTATTTGGAATGTTAATGGAAGCACTCAGTGAAAGTTAAATCATACTTCCTGCGTCCTGTTACACTGGAAATATTTCTCCACGGCCGGACAAATCTGGTGTTTGCATCGCGGTGCTCCGACATGAAAGGCGATTTATGTAATCAAGAAGAAATATAATGATCGACAACTTTTCCCCCCGTCTCTACGGAGTCGCGAACTATCAAGCTTCCACCAAGCAGTGGCATTTGTCGAACAAAACTTTTTAGGGGACTAGAAGATAAACAACTGTAAAAGAAAGTCTGTCCTGAAGCCGCTGACTTCTGCTTTCCCCCGGGCGCCGTCTGGCGGCGTTACCTCACGGCGTGACGAGAACGTGGTTGCATGCTGACGCTCCACTGACGACATTGTGGCATTATGTGACCTTCCACTTTTTCCAAGCTCAGTTTTTATTTTTTTTTTTTAATTTTATCTTCTCGTCACAAATGGGAAGTGATTTTGAACATCTACTCAGACTGTGTGAGTCATTAAAAACGTTTCTGTAAAAATAGTTTCATCCAAATGCAAGCCAGTGTGCTGATGAGATCAAATCCTTTTGTAAATCTTTAACCTTTCCTCTTTACTGGCTACGCAGAAACATCTAAAAAGGTTAATTGGCTGGCTACCTTTTTTTTTTGTCCCTGAAGCTCTGAGGCAGGGAGTCCGTCTGGCTAGCTGATGTTTAATTCAGGGGCCCAGATGGGGCCCCGACATCCTGGCTGTGAGATCTTCAACTCGCTCTCTCACCAGAGCGGCTGGGGCTCTGGACGGCCCCACGGGATGAGTGGGTCTGGACGGTTCCCTCCGCACACCAGAGACAACGCAACCCGACGGTAGTTTTGTAGTTGGTCTCTTTGAGGATCTCGTAAGATCTGTTTCCGATTAGGTGGAAACTATGTTTCCAGAATTTGTGAGTGTTTGGGACAACAGTTACTCACGGATATATAAAAACACCTGTAGCTGCATATTGAAGAGTTAAAATGTGAAATATACCTTAATTTGCATTAATACAAAGGTGAAAACCAGCTTAGCAGAGTCTAATATCTACAGTCTTCCATCTTCTCTCGGGGGGACAGCCAGTGAGCGGCAAGGAAAAATAAATGGCACTTACTGTCATTGCTGACTTGTATCTGGCGACATGAAGTAGGCAAAAAAATAATCTTCTGCAAAGGCAAAAACAGAAGAAATCCTCAAAGGGACAAATACTTTTTCACAGCTCTGTTAATCGATTAATCAAGCTTGAAAAATACAATCGCTGCGAAGGAGAAAAATAGGCAACTATTCAAAACTTGTGCAGTCCCTTCTGATTCAACAGGAGTGTGCGTGTGCTTAATTAAAGGAAATATATTTATGTAAAGGTTGGAGGTTCAGGCGCAGAGCACGGGCTTACATAATGAGAGCATTACCATAGTAATCTTATCATGCAACAGTGTGTTCACAACATAATCATGTTAGCTCCGTCATTTCCATAAGGCTGCATAATCCCCCACACCCCCACACAAGTCTAGCCTATTAACCTCGTGAAGAGGACTGACATTAATTAATACAAATGTTTTTTTTACCTTCTCTTTGGCATAAAACAGCAGGATTAGACTACCCTCTTTTTTTTTTTTCCAGGTTAGCGATATAATCTTTTGAATCCTTGTTTGCCTTAATAACACCAGTATAAAGCAAAGCGAGGCTAAGGGTTAACCTTCTGGTTTGTTCTCATTCTGCTGTTCTTTAACGAACCAGTTGGACACACACTACGAAAAGTCTTCTTAGTTTAAAGTCATGTTAACGCCCATAATTTAAAGAAACAATTTGTGCTGCTTATGCACAAATTCTAGGCTGGATTGGTTAGGCTCCGCGTTGTTGACGTTGGCATGGATACGTTTTGCCAAATAAACATTTTCAAAAAATTACTTAATTTGCTCGAACACTTCTGGCTTCTGGTTTTGTTTTTGTTTGTCAGCCCAACGCTAACATTTACTTGAGTTGCATGTGATTAAAAAACATGTTCTTAAAGCCGAAGCAGAAAGAAAAAAAAACAAGCACACACACACACACACACACACACACACACACACCCTTATAATATACGACTTTGTATTGGCGTCCAATCATTTTACTACTTTTATTTATGACTAACCACAATCATTGGAGTGACTCGTAACCCCAACCTTAACCAAAACTTAATTCACACCGTCCCGCTAAACCTAACTAGTAAACCTGAGTAAAATAAAAACAAGTGAGAACCAGGAAAATGTCCTCTCTTCTCAAAAACGACCTGCTTTGTTTGGCTGAAAGCATTTGCATGTTTGCAAGAGCACAAGACTTCAGCATTTCTATCCCTCAGACGCCTAAGCATATCGTTTTTATGATTGCTTTTACCCTTTGCCACTGCTTCATAACTTTGGAGACGACATTAAGAGATCTTGAAAAGCTTTCACAAATCATATTCTTTTATAAGCAACAGTCAGTACCTCTACTTCCCCGACACGGCGTGCGGACAAAACCCAGGCCTTTCTCTTTCGACTGGGTTCAAGAGATCACAGTTTATGTTTCCTCTTGCGTTACACCAGGCTCTAAATTGTCTGGTTTTCAGGTTGCTGGCTGGCTGGCTGGCGGGTGGAAGGAGGGCCGGTGTTCTGGGGCTTCAAACACAATATAAGCTGCTCCTTATCATCGCTGACCGCTCCGGAGCCGCCACTGAGGAGGAAGCCACTTATATCATCTTTGTTTTGCTAGGGCCCAGCTGTTTTCGCTCACTCGGCCCGAGCGTCTATCTGCCGATTCTGGTGATCTTTGATGTGCGGCGGGAGGCTCTGACCCCGAACCCCCTACCAATCGGCCTGCCGGAGTTCAAGTTTAAACATTTGAGGGGGATTGTTTTTGTTTCCCCGGGGTATCTGCTCTCTGTACGTGCCCCCTTCACAGGCCCGTTTGTAACTGAGGGGGGGGGGGGTTTAAGGGAGACGTTCTGTGGCTTCGGACATGAGCAGCACTTCATTTAGTTAATGTACTCACGTTGAGTTAGGTCCAATTACGGCGAGGTCCAAACCCAAACTCTCATTTTGGCAATTACTGTTAATGCAAACGAGATTTTTTTTAGATCCTTCAAAGCCAAACAGTAAACTAATGTAAGATAGAAACGTGGAGCAGCTGGAAACAATGAGAAAACACTTATTTGCCTAAAGAATATCCTGTTTGCTTTTTTGCTTTCAAGACTAATGACCATTTAACCCTCCACAGATGGCTTATAGCACACCGTTTTTAACTTGATGATGAAAACCATTCGCGATACAACACAATTTCTTTTCGTTTGCTCGCTTTGCCATTTTTAATACGGAGGACGAGCAGCGAAGCAGCAAAGCTGTGGTGACTTAATGGACGCTGGAGGAGACGTTAATCTTCCCGGGCCA